GGTTTGGCCTATCGGGAGATTCAATATCTATCTCGAGTTTCAAGTAAGTCTCATTCGTTGCTTGTTATGGGTCAGGGTTTCCTAACTTTCACACAAATTTGCGTGGATGCATTTTCGCTCAAACCTAAAAAAAAGGGTGGTCATCGACGATTCTCCTCCAGACGACTTCTCACTCGCCGCCAGAAACTGGCAAACAACCGCCTGGGTACGCGAGTCGCGAACGGCCGCACGCTACAAAACCTCCCCCGCCCAGCATGCAACGACCTCGGGGAGAGGCCCAGGACCGGTTCAGATAACACTGGTCAACAAAAAAAAAAACTCTTTTTTCTGACCTGGACTTTTGCAGCTGTTTTAGACTAATTTCAGGGTGCTGATTCCAAATCTGATCTCAGATTTGCTCTATCACATCTCATTTTTATGCTATCGGCATACCCCATTTTCATATATTTTACCCGAAATTAACTCTGTCACTTATAATTGCAAGTTGTTGCGAGTCAGTGACTGCTTTAGTGTTAAAACACGGTGCTGTATTTTTATGATAGTGTGTTTATAATATCCTTTTATGTAGATATCCACATTTATTTAATATTTTTCTTCTGCAGTTTTTAGTGAAAATGCAATATTTGATATCTCAAAAACCTGATGTGATAGACAAAAACTGATGCCAGATTTGGAATCGGCACCCCACAATTACCTTAAACCCGTTGGAATACCTCGTGCCAGAAAAAGTGCGTTGACCAGTGTAATCGTCGCCCGGTGTTGGGCGTCAGCGGGAACCGAACTCGGGCCGCCGGGTTCGTAGCGCAACGCCAACCACTACGACACGACTGCTCCCCCAACTACGCACAACAACAACAACAAGCGCCATTCGCCACTAAGTGGCGGTGACGTCACCACGACGCCTGTGCCAGGCCATGTGCACGTTGAGGCCACGTGAAGTGTCGAACGCCCGCTGGCAGGTCACGGGGCAGACTCAGGTGCCACGGGTCGACTGAGATGACCGAGATGACTGGCTGATGCACCACCTGTGCCCCCTACTGTGCCAACTACGATTTAACTACGGACACACGCACGCACACACACGTAAAACATAGCTCATCATGCCACAGTGCGGTGCAGTGTCGTGAGCATTACTTATTCTCGTCAAGGAGCGCAAGACCACCATCACGCAAACTCTGGCCGGTCGTGAACCCAATGACGGCGGTCTCTGGCATTGCGCGCGGCGCTTCAAGACGCGCTTCTGCGGCCGTCTGGAACGCTCTTCCATCCGGTATTAGGAAGCCGCGCTATGCACTTGTGAACAATCTCGAATGACAAACTCATTTCTCTAGAACTGCGTGTTGTTGTGTTTAGTCTGCTGCCCTTCCGCCACACCTCCGATTAGCACGGTGGGCTACGTACGGCACGAAATAAGTTCAAGATACGTCCGTACACTTTGAGACCCACGGACTCGCATAAAGACCCAGACTCATGTAGAGATTAACAGTCACACAGACACCCAGTGGAGTTCAACATATAATAGCAATTTAACACGGAGGCTTTCGCGACCAATATTATTCATAATAAACGTTTTTGGGTTAGAACGCGTTGTTTATAAATGTGTCGTAACCCTCCACCACCCGACACGGCCAAACAGTAAAAAAAAGTGTCACGTTTACAAAAGACAAATAGTTCACTACTTTAGCCCACCGGTGTGTTGAAGAGTGATTCAACATCATTTTTTTAAAAATGTAGTCCGACGTTTCGCTGGTAATTACATCAGCCAGCATCATCGGGCAATTTGCCAGAATGGTGAAGCCCTACACTTGCTCCCGGTCTTAAATAGAGCAGCAGCCAGGGTGACATCATCATTTAACCCAATCAGGTGCAGAGATTTGGGACAGAGGGATTATAAAATATATTGGTAATCATTTAATTGTTGTTAATTAGTATTTGTTTCCCCTATAAGGAATTGTAATATATATTTTATTTAATAATACGCTTCCAGGCTGCACTAAGCCTGGAGCTGTCAGAGCGATTAAAGTTATTTCTGTTTCATTAAATTTCAATGGATTGATTCTCTAATTAGTCTTGGCCAGTATTAATTAGTGTTACACAACACTTCAACGTTATCAAAATCAATTTAGTGTCCTTGTAGACAAGCATGTTCTGCTACTGCCGACAGTTGTATTTGAGATAATTTAATATTTCTTTGGTGTTCTTTTTAGTCTTATGCTGATGTTACGTCCCGTCTGACCAATATAGCATCTGCCACATAAACAATTAATCCGATATACATCTTCTGTTAGTAATTTAGGTAATTCGTCTTTAGTGTAAGATACTAGTTTTTAAATGTTGTGTACTGTACCAAATCTTGCTTTAATGTTTTGCTTTTGCACAACCTGGGCTAATTTGTCATTTACACCTGAGATGTATGGTATTTTGATTGTTTTAACAATCTCATCCCTTTCAGCAGTGTTGCTTTGCGTTCGTGATTTGACATTCAGTGCTCTGTTAATGTGAGCATTACTGTAGCCACTCTGTCGTAGTGCTACTTTAACATGTTTAATCTCTCACTAGACTTTCACCATCTGCCACTGTTTTAGCCCGATGTATGAGTGTCTTGATAAGAGAGGATTTCTGAGCTGGTTGATGTGAATCTGAATTCAGATAGGCATCAGTGTGCGTTCGCTTTCTGTAAACGCTGTGTGCTATTTTGCCATTTCGACCATATCCAAGCAAAATATCTAGGAACGTGAGTGTGTTACTCACCTCCATTTCCATGGTGAACTGGATGGCCGGGTTTTGTGCATTGAGATGATTTAGAAAATCATTAAGTGTATCTTTACCATGTGGCCAGATAACCAGTGTCATGAACATATCTAAACCAAAAAGTTAATGTACAGAGGCGAGTGCTCTTGTTTCAAAGTTTTCCACGTACAGATTTGCTACAGCAGGAGATAAAGGAGAGCCCATTGCAGCTCCTTTTTGTTTAAAGCAATCACCTCTCCATAAGAAGTAAGTGTTATTTAAACAATGGTCAGCCTTCTTGGTTCTTTCGGTAAAGTCACGTAGAAGGGAAGTAATGAAATAATAAAAATAAAACATAATAAAATAATTCTCACGTTTCGGCCACATGGTCTAAATGGCTGCTTGCGTTGTGGCTGAAACGTCGTGAGAATTATTTAATGTTTTATTTTTATTATTTTATTATTTCCCTTCTACGTGACTTTACCGAAAGAACCAAGAAGATGAATCCCTGCAGTCACGAAAGAAGCTTTAAATCGAATTTTTATTGTTTTATTTTTATTATTTTATTAATTCCCTTCTACGTGACTTTACCGAAAGAACCAAGAATATGAATCCCTGCAGTCACGAAAGCTTTAAATCAAAATTTAATAGTCAGCTAGTTTCGGAATGTCTTCTGGTAAACCTGTATTCTTTACGAGTGTATCAAGTAATTTAAGCAACTCGCGTTCACTGTAACCTTTGTGAATAGAGAAATCACATCACTCACCAGAATGTCATTAGGGTTAAGTTTGATATCTTTAATCACATTCACAAGATGTTCTGAATTTTTAATGAATGAAGATGTCCTACCGATGTAGGGCTGTATTTGTTTATAGTTATATATTTTGCTAATTTATATTTGGCAGAGCCAATTGTACTGACTATGGGTCGTAATGGGGTGCCGATTTTATGAATCTTTGGTAGCCCATACAGTCTCGGTGGTGTTGAAGCCCTTGGCTTAATTTGGTTTTTTTCAGTCTTAGGGATTTATTAATTTGCAATGATTGCAGTAGTCTTGTGTTATAAAGTATCAGTTCGATCTCGTTTAATTTTAATGTAGGTACTTTCCTCTAGACAATCTTTAATTTTATTATCATAATCTGCTCATGACATCACTGCAGTAGTGCGGCCTTTATCAGCTGCCAGGATTTGAATTGCTTTATTTAATCGGAGCTCTCTTAAGGCGTTTGCTTCATTCGAGCTAATATTTACTTTTGTTACTTTGCTATTCTCAATTATTTTGGCAACCTCGTGTCGAGTCATCTCTGCCTCGTTATGTAGAAAGTGTCTTACCGCTGATTATACCTCAGTTTTGTTGCCAGATAAAAGTGTCAAAACCAATTATCATGTTTTGCTACTGGCAAAGGAGGTTCCAATGGTGTTAACAACAACCTCGTCCTCGTCGTCATCCTAGCAGGGCTAACTTTACTATTCGACAACATCGGCAGTCCCAATTATTTTAAGTGGTTAGCAAGAGATGGGGGGGGGGGCGAGAGACGATGACGACGTCGAAACGCGCCGGGGTATCTGCAAGAGCTCGGTATAAAAATAGAGAGTCGTGGACAATATTTTTAGAAAAATAATAAAAACGACACAAACCCTAGCACCCCCCCATCCCCCCCTTTCGGCCCCACGTGACCCCCACGTGACACCATGACCTCCACCGCACCGCCCCCCACACCACACGGTAACCGTTAACACTATAGTTTGTTTTTTAACATCAGTAGTTGAAAATGTTTGACATTCAAAAAATACAACTACACCGACGGTGACAACAACAACAATGATAATAGAAAAATAAAAAACCCTCCGTGGAAGAATGTTTTAGTTTTGATAGCGAACGGATTCCGGCACCAACTTACTCTGGCTACTCGCACTTTTCGGGCCAAACGCAAAGTTTCTGCACAGGGAGCGTGCACAGGGGAGGAGGGGGGGGGGCATGCGGGATGAGGGGGGGGCGACGATGATGATGACGACGAGGAGCCGCGAGCTTCATCGCAGCGCACATCGCGAGCGGTCCCCTCCCGCCGCTCCTACCGTGGTTCAACGCGCGTCTCAGACGCCCGTCTCAGACTCGCGGGTAACGCAGCTGGCGATCGCCGGTCGCGCTGCGTTGGCCGCTAGCGCAGACAGCCTCAGCGGTGGCGGCGGCGGCATCACTGCATAACAACTTCAAATTCCCACCCATCCTGGGAGCGCGAAACAAAGAAACATTTTTTATTTCACGAGGTACGAGGTAAGGCGCCCCTGAGCTTCGCAGCTCTTGGCCATCGCAAGTGACAGCGGCTCAACGAAGTTGCCTCTCCAGCATCGCCGAGTAAAGCGGCAGGACCCCCGGGAGAAAAATCCACGCGGCCACGGCTCAACCGAGTGGCGGCTGATGATCATCATCATCGTCGTCGTGGTGTGGACATGTATAGCAGCCGAACGCACTCCACAAGCACGTGACGTCGATTCTACAATGTGAAGGGGGGCGGGGGGGGGGGTAAGCCGGGAGGGACCCGGTAGAAAAATCCACGCGACCAATGCCTGGTAAAATTTAAAAAAATCCTTTAATAGTGGGACTGTTCCTCTGATGTCATAACACGAGACGCGGGCGATGCGAGGATTGGGGGGGGGGGGTACGCAGGGAATGCAGGAGGGGGGGGGGTAATCTTTGCTACATCAGTTCACGACAAAGCGACGGACGGACGGACCGGAAGAGAAGCTTCCATCCTAAGAAGACAACGGGAAGCGAGTTGGTGCTGGAGGTGAAGTGGGCGCTCAACTTGAATGTAAAAATGTAAACAAGGCACGGCTTGTTGTGCTCTGAGCAGGGTCTGCCCCCCCCCCACCCCGTTTCACCACGGCATGGGGAGGAGGAGGAGGGCGCATTGTTGAACCCATCGAGAACGCAGCTAGTAGTGAGGGAATGCAGCTACCAGTATATACGTGTACGTGTGTACGTGTGTGCGCGTGTGTGCATGTACGTGTGTGTGTGCAGGGAGCGGTAGTGTAGCGAGTAGTGTAGCGGCTAGCGCGCTGTGCTACGGACACGGCGACCCCGAGTTCGATTCCATATTTGTCTTTGCGCGTGTGTGCGTGTGTGCGCGTGTGTGCGCGTGTGTGCGCGTGTGTGCGCGTGTGTGCGCGTGTGTGCGCGTGCGTGTGCGCGTGTGTGTGCATGTGTATGTGCGTGCGTGTGCGTGTGTGCGTGTGTAGAGAAAAACCGTCAACGGTTCCGACTCGCGCGGGAGAGGCACGCTCCCCCTCCCGACCCCGGACGCAGAAGTATTTTGTGTCTCAAATCAAAAAAGAAAAATCTCGAGCGATCGAATAACTTAGTGTCGTTTTTAAAAACACAGGATGCAAAAAATAAAGAAGAGCGAGAGAGAGAGAGAGTGAGATAAAAAAAGGCAATTCATGTGTTAGACGTTACCCCCAAGTCTGAGGAATGCAGAGCAGACGAGGTGGGGTTAGAAACACTACGACACGCTACAGGACACGCAAGCCCCTTTATGTACACGACAACGACGACGATGGCTCTTACATTTCATCTCTATACACAAACGATCTGCTACGTTCATTATCGAGGATAACACAAAAAAACTAAAATATTAAAAACAACACAAACGACAAATGAGAAGGACGTCATTCCAGTAAAAAAAACGGGGGGGGGGGTGACGTCACGATACCGATGGCCCAACGTCGCTGGAGGCCGACCGCTGTGACCCGAATCAGCGGCCATGACAGGAACATCATCATCATCATCAGGCTACGCCGTACAGCAAGACGCGGCCACAAAACGGACGGTCGCTCCTCTCTGGAGGTGGGTGCACTAAAAGCAGCTACGGCCGTCAAAGTTCAGGTGTCCTTCACCATTCGCCGACCGTGAGCGAGACTTCCCCCTAGCGGATCGGAAAAACGCCGCACAACTGACAGAGATCGACAACAAAAAGTGGCTCTCGATCGCCCGCTCGCCCGCCCGCTTGTGGAGCATGAGCGCTCACACAGCCATCGCAGTCCCACACGGAAGCCCTGCATCAGCGCGGACGAACGGACGATCTGGCGCGGCGTGGTCAATCGCCGCAAGACGGCGCCACGTCTACCCTCCTCCCTTGGGTGGACACGCGCAATGACGCAGGCACAAGCGTCGTCCCCCCACACACCCAGCCCACCGCCACTCACGGGAGTTGGCATCGGGGTTTTGCCCACCCCGGGGCGTAACGATTCGGTTCAAGTTCGTTCATTCTCCGTCGTACGGCGCTCGCCGCTCCACGTCTCAAACGTCGCCGATCGATTCTCATGGGCGCGTGGAGCTGGGGATACGCCATGAGGGGATATCGCGAGCGGCGCCGTTGTGAGAATCGAGATTTAAATCAAAGAATCGGCGAGGAAGCCCGCCGCGCGTCTAACCAGGCCCAGTGGGCAGCGAAGGAGACAGAGACGGTGAATTTGTTCCTGTTGATTTGGGCTGGAGGAGAATGTGAGAATGTGGAATTGGCCACAGAGGCTTTGCCGAAGGCTCGAGGGGGGGGGGGGGAGGCTGTCTTAATGATACGGATTTTATTTTCTCCTCCCCCCTTTAATTTAAAACTCAACGGAAAAAATGAAATCGAATTCTAAAGTGTGTTGGCGGGGCGAGCTCTGTCTATCTCCATAGGCAGTCCTCCTGGCTCACAACTCAAAGAGTCCACAACCCAATACCCCCCCCGCCCCCCCCCTGGCACCACCACTGTTGACTTCTCCCAATGACAGGAGAAGCTGCTGCCACCACCAACGCCTGCTGGACACGGAGTTGGATTTTTTCCCGCGATCGTTTTGTCTTGAAACCAGTTCTCAGGAGTTAATGAGAGCCCAATTCCCCCTTCCCTCACCCCTTACGCACCCCCCCCCCCTCCACCATCGTGTCACAGAAGCGAGATTCGTGCGAGCTCAAGTGTTCGACAAGTGAAACTCCACTCCCCAATGTCCCCTCCCTGCGTGTTCAACCACAAAGTCACACTGCTGCCGATGACGTCTCCATACAGCGACTCCTGCGCTTACGGACATTCAGAGATACAAACATTCGACTTACGAACTTTCAACGATACGAACAAACCTGGTCGTTCGGGCCGAGAGTCGTAAGTTCAACCGCCGCGCAATAGATGGCGGTGGTGGCATCTACATCTGCAGAACGCGAAGAACCAGTGGCATCTACATCTCAGAACGTGAAGAACCAGTGGCATCTACATCTCAGAACGTGAAGAACCAGTGGCATCTACATCTACAGAACGTGAAGAACCAGTGGCATCTACATCTCAGAACGCGAAGAACCAGTGGCATCTACATCTCAGAACGCGAAGAACCAATGGCATCTACATCTGCAGAACGCGAAGAACCAGTGGCATCTACATCTCAGAACGTGAAGAACCAGTGGCATCTACATCTCAGAACGTGAAGAACCAGTGGCATCTACATCTCAGAACGCGAAGAACCAGTGGCATCTACATCTCAGAACGTGAAGAACCAGTGGCATCTACATCTACAGAACGTGAAGAACCAGTGGCATCTACATCTACAGAACGTGAAGAACCAGTGGCATCTACATCTCAGAACGTGAAGAACCAGTGGCATCTACATCTCAGAACGCGAAGAACCAGTGGCATCTACATCTCAGAACGCGAAGAACCAATGGCATCTACATCTGCAGAACGCGAAGAACCAGTAGCATCTACATCTACAGAACGCGAAGAACCAGTGGCATCTACATCTGCAGAACGCGAAGAACCAGTGGCATCTACATCTGCAGAACGTGAAGAACCAGTGGCATCTACATCTGCAGAACGCGAAGAACCAGTGGCATCTACATCTCAGAACGTGAAGAACCAGTGGCATCTACATCTCAGAGCATGAAGAACCAGTGACATCTACATCTGCAGCATGTGAAGAACCAGTGGCATCTACATCTGCAGAATGTGAAGAACCAGTGGCATCTACATCTGCAGAACTTTAAGAACCAGTGGCATCTACATCTGCAGAACATGAAAAACCAGTGGTATCTACATCTGCAGAACATGAAGAACCAGTGGCATCTACATCTCAGAACGCGAAGAACCAGTGGCATCTACATCTCAGAACGTGAAGAACCAGTGGCATCTACATCTCAGAATGCGAAGAACCAGTGGCATCTACATCTCAGAACGCGAAGAACCAGTGGCATCTACATCTCAGAACGTGAAGAACCAGTGGCATCTACATCTCAGAACGTGAAGAACCAGTGGCATCTACATCTGTAGAACATGTAGAACCAGTGGCATCTACACCTGCAGAACGTGAAGAACCAGTGGCATCTACATCTGCAGAACGTGAAGAACCAGTGGCATCTACATCTACAGAACGTGAAGAACCAGTGGCATCTACATCTCAGAACGTGAAGAACCAGTGGCATCTACATCTGTAGAACATGTAGAACCAGTGGCATCTACACCTGCAGAACGTGAAGAACCAGTGGCATCTACATCTGCAGAACGTGAAGAACCAGTGGCATCTACATCTGCAGAACCTGAAGAACCAGTGGCATCTACATCTGCAGAACGTGAAGAACCAGTGGCATCTACATCTGCAGAATGTGAGGAACCAGTGGTATTTACATCTACAGAACGTGAAGAACCAGTGGCATCTACATCTGCAGAACCTGAAGAACCAGTGGAATCGACATCTGCAGAACGTGAAGAACCAGTGGCATCTACATACGCAAGAATGTGAAAAACCAGTGGCATCTACATCTGCAAAACGTGAAGAACCAGTGGCATCTGCAGAATGTGAAGAACCAGTGGCATCTACATCTGTAGAACATGTAGAACCAGTGGCATCTACATGTGCAGAACGTGAAGAACCAGCGACATCTACATCTGTAGAACCTGAAGAACCAGTGGAATTGACATCTGCAGAATGTGAAGAACCAGTTGGGACTGACGAAGAAATCTATTTACGAAGACCTCTGGAACCCAAATTGTTCGTCCCTGTATAACGGAGGAATTCGGAGGTTAGGGTTGACTGTCCGAAGCGAGCCCAGCTCATGGACCATGATGTTGCTGCTGCTGCTACCTTCCCGCTCGCTCATCGCACCTCTCGGCCGTCCCCGCTCTCCTGCTGCGTGTGCGAGAGCGGGCCAATGCTACGCCGTGACGACGCGTCACAAGCCGACATTGATAATCACCGTGAGAAAAACACATGTGCCGGCCTCAAGATGAGAGACGGCCGCCACCGCCGCCACCACCAAGGGAGTTTGATTTTGATTAAAACGGTCCCAAGTTCCACAGAAGCGAACGAAATGCAACTCGACCGTGCCGCTTCTTGACGTGATTCACTAAAAAAGTTATTAAAATACTTTGAGGTAAGTCAACAGTGGTCGTCCCTAAGAGATTATAAACTGCATCCCCCCCCCCCCCCCCCCATCATAGCAAAGCGGAATGTCCACATTGATTGAGGGCTGCCAACCAGATTGAAAAGTCACTGCTTTGAAACTGCTCTTTGTTGCACGTTTAGTTTCTTGTCCTTCCCCGCCCTACGCACCTCCAATGAGCACATCTGGCGATGTACGGTGCGATAGAAGTTCAAACATACACACACACAAACTCTCATTTCTCTACAATTGCTTGTTGTGAGTTTGTTTTCCGCTCCCCCCCCCTCCCCCCGTGCATCTCCGACGAGCACGGCTGGCGATGTACGTTGCGAAAGAGGCTCCAACTTACACACACACACACAATCTCATTAATATAGAACAGCTTTTTGTCGTGTGTTAGTGTGTTGTCTTCCCCCCCACCGAGCACGACAGAAGTTCATACGCGTGCGCACAAACACAGATACGACTGCCCGCTCGTTGGCTTTCGGCATCGCCCAGTGGCTACCGACGATGCCTCCTCCCCCCTTAGCCCCACGATGGGACAACTCTACAAGCCGCCCGCGGTCGTCCTTTGATCTTCACGGACTTAGAAAAAACGAAGTGGAGTTGACCCTTTTTTTTTTACACTGTAGACCAAACCCCGATGTATATATATAATGTGTCATCGTCGGCACCAGGTGTAGTGTCAAAAAACCGTGCTCAAGTTTTCCGCAATGAAGTTCAGCACGGCAATACCGCTAGACAGATGTCGGTTACAAATCAATTACTGCCACGCGAACCGATGGCATATCTCAGACCGTACAGACCAGGTCAGACACGGACAAGGTGGCAAACCATAGTTAGGTGGTGGGTGAGCGAGCGAGCGAGTGGGCGAATAAGTGGGTGAATGTGTAAGTCAGCGAGCCAGTCGGGTGTGCGGGTTGGTAAATGGGCGAGTGAACGAGCGGGTGGGTTGGTGAACGGGTGAATGAACGAGTGGGTGGGAGAGTTGGTGAATGTGTTAGTATTCGAGTGGGTGCATGGGGTGTTGAATGGGTGAGTGAACGAAATGGGTGGGTTACGGTTGCCAACCTTTCCCAACAAGACAAATCCCACAGACGTATTTCTCAGCCAAGAACTCTGTCCACCATTGAAACCGTGCGGTCTACGACGATACAATTCCACCACCGCCAGATCTCGGCACAGATCAATTCCTGCCAAACGAACATCGATGCCAAACTCCCGGACTCTCCCGAGGGTAGGCGAGTAAAAAAAAAAACCTCCAGCGGTCAAACCCCGACAAAGATGGCAACCCCATACACTCGCCAAGTCCCCCAACGACACAGCGGCTTTACCCACAATACACTCCTCCACCCGCCCCCCACTGCACCTCCGCCGTGTGACCTCCCCCGCCCTTGAACACCGCCACCGCCATCACCACAGCAGCAGCAGCGGCGGCGGCAGAGGCGGAAGTCTCCCGACTGCGGGCGCAGCAGAAACTTGTGCAACTTGGGGGTCGAGGAAGGAACAACGATGATGCCAAACTCCCGGACTCTCCCCGGTGGTGGGGGAGGGATGGGGGGGGGGTAAGCAGGCAAGTAGAAAAATACAAACAAACCCTCGGGTCAAACCCCGACAAAGGTGGCAACCGATACACGTGTCAAGTTCCACACATCGCGGGCCTTACCCATGAGACACTGCCCCCCCCCGCCCCGCCATGTGACCTCCCCCACCCGTCGTCGACCGCGTCGGCCTCACACGGAGGTCTCCGACTGCAGGCGCAGCACGAACTTGTGCGACTTGGGGTCGAGGAAGGTCTCGGAGAGGGTGAAGCGCGGCGCTCGCGACACCGTCACCACGAGGCAGAGGTCGGCGCGCGCCAGCGAGAAGGCGGTGCCGTCGCGCAGCGCCGACGTCACCGGCTCGGCGCTCAGCAGGCGCCACTGGGAGCTCTGCCACTTGTCCGGCTCGTACTGCACCGTGGGGCCCGGGCTCAGGTACTTCTCCAGGAAGGCCTGCGGAAGATCCGCGCGCCGATTGTCGCCGTCATTTACCGTCATTTGTTATTAGGGTCGACTAGCGGTTATCCGCGCGCGGGGTGACCGAGATTCCCGAGGTTCTGACGTGAGTTAGTAATGCGTGGATTTGTCACTATGGCGCACATTAATAACACTGGTCAACAAAAAAAACACATGTTTTTCTGGCCTGGACCCACCCCACCCACCCCCCACAACGTCTCAGGGGGGCGTACCCGTGCCGTCATGTCGTGTGCGATGCAGTGGGCCAGGTGCTTGAGGATGCCCTCCATGCTGTGGAAGGGCTGCTGCTTGGTGGCGCGGAGATACTTCTGCAGGGCGCGCGCCATCGAGGGGAAGATGGCCTGCGCCGCCTCCTGCGGGTCCATGGTGAGGCCCGTGCCGGCACGCTGCTCCTCGTCCTGCAGGCGCCGCACGTGCGTGAACGCCTCCTCCGCTGCCACCACCAGCCTGGGGGAGGGCGGGCCAGTGGGCGGGTGAGTGGGCTGGTGAGCGGGTGAATAGGTGGATGGGCGAGCGGGTGAGCGGGCGAGCAGTTGAGCGAGCGAGTGGGTGAGCAGATGGGTGGGTGAGTGAGTGGGCGGGTGAGCAGGTGAGCGGGTGAGCAGTTGAGCGGGCGAGTGGGTAAGCAGGTGGGTGGGTGAGCGGGTGAGTGGGCGGGTGAGCGGGTGAATAGGTGGACGGGTGAGCAGGTGGGTGGGTGAGCAGTTGAGCGGGTGAGTGGGTGAGCGGGTGGGTGGGTGAGTGAGTGAGAGGGCGGGTGGGTGAGCGGGTAAGTGGGCGGGTGAGCGGGTGAATAGGTAGACGGGTGAGCAGGTGAGCAGGTGGGCGGGTGAGCAGGTGGGTGGGTAACCGGGCGGGCGAGCGAGCGGGTAGGTGGGCGAGTGAGCAGGCGAGTGAGCAGGTGGGTGGGTGAATGAGTGAGCGGGCGGGCGACCGAGCCAGCCAGCGGGTGAGAACTCAACGGGGATAACGGGCGCAGCTCTGCGATTAACCCTCCCCCGTTCAGAGACGTCTGCAGGTAGCAGGGTGGTGGTGGTGGGTGCCTCCGTTCACCGGCCAATCTCGGAACCAGCGACCCGAGTTCGATTCCCGCTAATGGCTAAGATAGGTAAAAAAAATAATCTGATCCCGATGCTGGGCCTCCCCCGAAGGTCGAATCAGCCTCAAATGAGTATCTGGTGTAGTCATTTGAGGCTGATTTGTACGACACTCGGCCGTACAAAAGGCTGCTGTCTCTGGTGCAGACCAATTAGTTTCAAAGACAATGCCAGAAATTACAACGAGCTTTATACTACCCTGCTTCGCCCGAGACTTGGATTCCTGTCTTGGATTAATTCACACCTGCTGTACATTTGGAGTTTTCGTGTCTCTCGCTCTCATCGTCAAGATGCCGAGATGTTAACCACCTCGTGGTCGCGTGGATTTTTCTCCGGGCTATCCGATATTACCCTCCACGTTTATAATCGACACGCATTTAGAGTATTCGGCTGCTAGAAATGTTCACACCACGACGGCAATGATGATGATGGATAAGCCCGCTTCATCGCCCTATCATTTGCGACGGCCAGGTTACTTCTGACAAAGAGCAAAGTATATATGGAGTGACGTCATTGGAGTCACTATGGCGTCTAGCGCGTCTGGAGCCTCTCCCTGACACCAGAAGAGGCACGGCATGGAAGCTGACCTGGTTCTGGTGACGGTCAGAGAGAGGCAGGTGGCAGTCTGGGTGAACATGAGAGGGCACGTGACCGCGACAGGGTAGCCAGGGGGCCCAAAGGGCGGCTTGAGGGACACGTGGTGCTCGTTCGAAAACCTTCCGGTGAGATCTAAAGGGACGTGGCCTCTCGGGAGCATAAAAGGGAGGTCCCGAGAGCGATCGCGGCTGTCTGTTGAAATGGAACCCGTCGGTGCTGCGGCTCTTCGATCCTCGGTCTTTGCGCTCGGCATCGTGGGTCAGGCGGTGTGTTACTGACCGACCCGGTGATGTAGTCGCCCCGTTGTGGTCTAGCTAACCAGTGTACCTTCGTGTAGAAACCCTGTTGGGGTGTTGTAATAAACTTGTCGCCTCCAAGTTCAAGTGTGTGCCTCTGTGGTACCCATCAACCCATACGGTTTACCAATATTCTTGTACAGGGAAATTGAGTTCAGGTCCATATGCCATACAGCCGTTTCAATACGGGCAAAAATAATAAAATGTGTCTATTTGTTTGCGTTTCTCCCTTGTGATGGGACTTTTTAGGATGAACGTTGAGGTTTATAAGGGGCACGGGGTGACCAATGAGGTCTGAATTGGTCTGATAAGGTAGGGCATTAATAAGGGGTTGACAGCTTGACAGGTATGGTGTTGACAGGCAAGAGGTTCATACTCTTAGGTTTTTTCGGTAAAGTCACGTAGGTAAAAAAAATTATAGAAATAATAGAAATAAAATAATAAATCACGATGTTTCGGAGGCAACACAAGTCTCCGTCATCAGGTGGGACCGTCACAGATAAATGTACTGTCTCAATTTACTGTATCAAAAAAAATAAACCTAAGAGTATGAATCCTTGCAGTCACGAAAGCTTCAAATCTAGGTAAGCGGATGACAGGTAAGGGGGTGACAGGTAAGGGGATCTATAGTATCGGAGCGTGGGCCTTACCTGGTAACAATAAAACGTTGAGTGTTGTTGGTGTTGTTGTGGTTGTGGTTGTTGGTGTTGTTGGTGTTGTTGTGGTTGTTGTTGGTGTTGTTGTTGTGGTTGTTGTGGTTGTTGGTGTTGTTGTGGTTGTTGGTGTTGTTGTGGTTGTTGGTGTTGTTGTGGTTGTTGGTGTTGTTGTGGTTGTTGGTGTTGTTGTGGTTGTTGGTGTTGTTGTGGTTGTTGGTGTTGTTGGTGTTGTTGTGGTGGTTGTTGTGGTGGTTGTGGGTTGTTGTGGTCGTTGTTGTTGTTGTGGTTGTTGGTGTGGTTGTTGTGGTTGTTGGTGTTGTTGGTGTTGTTGTTGTGGTTGTTGTGGTTGTTGGTGTGGTTGTTGTTGTTGTTGTGGTTGTTGTTGTGGTTGTTGGTGTTGTTGTGGTTGTTGTGGTTGTTGTTGTTGTTGTGGTTGTTGGTGTTGTTGGTGTTGTTGGTGTGGTTGTTGTTGTGGTTGTTGTGGTTGTTGTTGTGGTTGTTGTGGTTGTTGTTGTTGGTGCGAGCGTACCGCGCGCGCCGCTTGCGCATGCGCCGCTCGTTCTCCATCTCCTCGTAGTAGAGCTCGTTGTGGCCCGAGTCGCGTCTCCTCGCGGCCGCCGCGATCATCGCCCGCGACTGCCCCGCCACGTTGTTGCTCGGGTTGCCTGCGGCGCAGACGACGACGACGCGTTAGCGCCACAAACACACGAGAAAACGATACCCCCCCCACCCCAACCCCCACGTGTCTCCTGTAACAGACTGTTGGGGCTTGTGCTGTTAGCGAGTCGCACCTATGAAGGCCGGCACGGCACACGAGGTGGGGCGGGTGGCCAGCACCACGCCCGGCCGCCATCGTCTCCGCTAATGGCGATGTTTACTACACACCGCGCCAGCTACGCATTTGAGGACGAGTCGACCTAGGGGAGGCCCAGGACCGTCACCGATGTTGGCCGCGAGCGGGATTCGAACTCGGGTCGCGGGTATCATAGCGCAGTGCCTTAACCACTACACTACTGCTCCACGCACACATGAAGACAAATATACCCTGTATAGCCTGAACTATTGGGGCAAGTGTGGTTATGGAGTGGCACCACCTATGAAGGCCGGTACAGCACACGAGGGGGTGGGGTGGCCAGCACAACGCCTGGCCGCCTTTGTCTCCCCAGCGGCGATGTTTACTACACATCGCACAGGGTACTAATTTGAGGCTGAGGTGACTTAGGGGAGGCCCAGGACCGGTTCGGATAATCGTCACTGATGTTGGCCGCGAGCAGGATTCGAAATCGGTCTGCCGGGTTCGTAGCGCAGCGCGCTAACCGCTACACTACCACTCACACACACACAAACAGACACACACAGACACACACACACACACACAGACACGCACAGGCACACACACAGACACACACACACACACACACAGACACACACACACACACAGACACACACACACACACAGGCACACACAGGCACACACAGACACACACACACAGACACGCACACACACACACACAGACACACACACAGACACACAGACACACACACAGACACACAGACACACAGACACACAGACACACACAGACACACACAGACACACACAGACACACACACAGACACACACACAGACACACAGACACACAGACACACACACACAGACACACACACAGACACACACCCGCTTGTCCCCCACCCCCCCCCACCGTCTCACCGTCCACGTCGTACACCTTGAAGCCTGTGAGGTGCTTGAGGGCGCGCGACTTGGGCACCTTGAGCAGCGCGGGGTTGTAGACGGAGAAGTCGCGGTAGTAGCTCTCCAGCACGCACACGCTCGCGCTCTGTATGCTGCGGGCGCGGGCGCGGTACACGCACGGTCAGTCCTGCGATCGCGCGTGGCTTTCACGACGCAAATCGGACCGACATACATATATATAGAACGCGATGAACGTGTTGGAGAATGCGTTCTATCGAAGACGAATTGAGAGGAGTGGGACAAAATCCCTCCTGAGATGTGTGCAAACCTGGTGGCCAACTACAAGAAACGCCTGACCTCTGTGATTGCCAACAAGGGTTTTGCCACCAAGTACTAAGTCATGTTTTGTAGAGGGGTCAAATACTTATTTCCCTCATTAAAATGCAAATCAACGTATAACATTTTTGACATGCGTTTTTCTGGATTTTGTTGTTGTTATTCTGTCTCTCACTGTTCAAATAAACCTACCATTAAAATTATAGACTGATCATTTATTTGTCAGTGGGCAAACGTACAAAATTAGCAGGGGATCAAATACTTTTTCCCCTCACTGTATAGAACGCAATGAACGTGTTGGGGAACGCGTTCTTTCGCAGGCGAATTGAGATGCGACGCGACGGAGCAAACTTCCCCGCGGCGCGAGTAGAAATAAAGTAGAAATTAGCGGCGTTTGTAAGACGGCTGCCTCGGCGTAGCATCACCACCGCACACGGCGTTGGGATGCTGCTGGATGCTTTTACGCCGGCGGTTCGTAATCTTTACTGCAGCCTTGCCACCCCTTCGGTTGTCAATCGTAACAAAAAAAATGTGCAATGGTAATAACTACATGGGTTTTGGCTGAACAAAGTTGTTGTTTACGTTGCCCGTGGCTTCATTTGTGTTTTCGATGATTTACGTTCTAAAATATCTGGCCGTGTCTCACACCCGCCAGGGGGTGCGAGCAGCTCAGGTGAAGAGCCGCTGGTCTCGACGCTACCCACGTCTTTGTTCGTCCGCGTTACACATCGAACCTGTTATCGCGGACTGAGCTTTACCCCCTACATCATATGTATTATTATTTATTATAACGCGAGTTTTCTATAACGCGATGTCCTTCAGGAACGCAACTACCTACCACGTTACAGACCGGATGTTAAAACTATTTACAGCATCTGGCCTATTGCACTGCGCACAACATGATGGCACTGGGTACGCCCTGGGAGGTTGTGGGGGGCTCGTGGGGGTGGTGGGAGATCACGGGGAGAGGGAAAGGGGGAGGAGAGGGGAAGGGGTGAGAGAGGCCACAGTGCGGTGCGTGGGAGGTCACGGTGATGCAAAGCGGTGTGGAGGTGGAGGGGGATGCACAGGGATATTTATTAGCCGGGCGGTGGTGGTGGTGGTAGTGGTGGTGGTAGCGGTGGTGGTAGCGGTGGTGGTAGCGGTCATGGTGGTGGTGGTGGTAGCGGCGGTGGTGGTGGTAGCGGTGGTAGCGGTGGTGGTGGTGGTAGCGGTGATGGTGGTGGTAGCGGTGGTGGTGGTAGCGGCGGTGGTGGTAGCGGTGGTGGTGGTGGTAGCGGTGGTGGTGGTGGTAGCGGTGATGGTGGTGTTGGTGGTAGCGGCGGTGGTGGTGGTAGCGGTGGTAGCGGTGGTGGTGGTAGCGGTGGTGGTGGTGGTAGCGGTGGTGGTGGTGGTAGCGGTGGTGGTGGTGGTAGCGGCGGCGGTGGCTACGCTGCTGCACGTGGCAGCTGTAACCCTGTGGAGGCAGCAGCAGCGAGGGTTGATGGATCACACACAGATGGGGTGTGAAACTACCTTCCTTCCCGTGGGCGTTGAGGAAGAGCCGTACCCCTGGTTGGCCAGGAGAAGGCGGTACGCTAATAATATGGACTCCACCAGTTCCAGATCTATTTCTATTCGATTTTAACCTTTCAAATGTTTGATTTAACCAAGTAAGGCCCACTGAGCTATATGCTGTAAATAGTTTTAGTTTTACGTAGCTCAATGGGACTTATCGTCGTCGCTTGGAATGTTTCGCGTGACGTCGATTCTGAATGTGGAGGGATGAAAAAGCGGAGGACCCGGAGGGAAAATTCCACGCGACCACGGGGGGGAGAGAGAAACCCAGATCGAGACGCGCACACTCCGGATTGAACGGATTGGCGGTAAAAATAAATATATGTAATCATGATATAGTTAAGCCCGCCACCACCCGACACGGCCAATTAGTAAGGTTTAGTGTGACGTGAACAAAACGTGGCCAATTCGTTACCAGTGCAGCACTAACCGGTGTGTTGGAGAGCAAATCTGAGTACGACATTTCGACAGTAATTACAACTGGCTTCATCAGGCGACAGCCAGATTTGTGGGTTTAACGACGCATTTATAATTACGCGATCTAACCCAAAAACAACTATATTATGGATGATATTGGTCGCCAAAGCCTACGTGTTAAACTATATATGCGTATATATGTTCGCAATAATAATTTATTTTCCCGCGTTTTGCAACCCCTGGTCAGAAAACCTTGCGCAGCTGGTGGCGGTGCGTCAAAAATCAGTCCTCGTGATGCGGAAAGCCGACTGACAAGACAACTGTCAGTCAGAATCTAAGATTTCAGCACCGGTTTTGCGAGGACCGGTGCGTTACGCCGCAAATACGTCCAAATACACAACGGGCATCGTGTCAGGGGGTTCCGGCAGAGGTCGCAACCGGGTACCCGATACCCGTACCCTACCCGAGACCCGGCTAACTGTACCTGGCCGGGTACGGGTAGCCGTTTGCGACCCTGGCACGGCCGGGTACGGGTAGGCCGTGAGTCACTGGTGAGTAACCGTTTGTCACTCATTTCGGGTAGGGTACGGGTACGGGTAGGGAACGGGTACCCGTACCCGGCTGGGTGTCAAAACTCGTTTGCGACCTCTGGGCTCCGGTGATCGTAAACCCACGACCTCCCGCACGCCAGGGGCGAGAGGCAGTCAACATCCCCCCACCGGCCACCGCGGCCACCTCCCCCCGCACCGGTACCTGAGCTGCCCGAGGCTGTAGACTCGGCTCTCCCCGTCGGTGGCGCGCACCACCTTGACGGCGAACGCGGGCCGCAGCTGGCGCAGCTCGAGCAGCACCAGCGCCAGGTAGTGCAGGAAGAGCAGCGAGTCGGCGAGCGAGAGCGCGTACTGCGCGATGCCGCGGTAGTCGGGGTCGCGGCTCGCCAGGATGCGGGCGCCGAAGAAGAGCCAGAACGCGAGCAGCAGCAGGAACCCGAGCGCGAGCACGAGGGCACGCAGCGCGCGCACGCGGGGCAGCGCGTGCCGGGGCCCGCGGGCGAACAGCGCCCAGGTGCCCACGGCGAGCGCCAGCAGCTTGAAGGCGAGCGACAGGAAGAGGCCCTCGCAGGCGGTGCCGCAGGGCTGCAGCTCGTCGCGCCAGAGCGCGTGCGGGATTGCCAGGAAGGCGACGGGCGACAGGAGGGCCAGGGCCCCCAGGAGGGCCGAGGCGGCGCGGCCGGCGTGGCGGCCCGCGCAGCCGCCGCGGCCCTCGGGCGCCGGGGGCTCGCGGAAGAGGGCCGCAAAGTCCTCGCGAGACGTGCTCTGCTCCGACGTGCCCGTCACCACCGTGGTGGTCTCGCCCCAGTTGTCGTCCTGCAGAGACACGGATGTGCGGGTGGGGGCGGGGGAGTGAGTAGCGGTTAGCCAACAGCTTTCTCGGGGTCAGGGGTTACCCTAGGTCGATTCGGCCTCAAATGAGCCACCCACCTCCATAGAGTGCCGTGCCAGCCTTCGTAGGTGCTCGCTAACAGCACTTGCCCCAACAGTCTGTTGAGGCTATATGGGGATCTTTGTCTTTGTAGGTGCTCACTAACAGCACTTGCCCCAACAGTCTGTTGAGGCTATATGGGGATCTTTAGTTTTGTAGGTGCTCGCTACCAGCACTTGCCCCAACAGTCTGTTAAGGCTATACGGGTGATCTTTGTCTGTGTGTGTGTGGAGGGGGGGGGCAGTAGTGTAGCGGTTAAAGTGCTGCGCCACAAACGCCGGCAACCCGAGTTCGACTCCCTGCTGCTCACGGTGACGATCATCTGAACCTGTCCTGGGACTCCCCTAAGTCCAGCTGGTGTAACAAGTCGGCTTTATGGATACATCGTGTTTATTTTACAGGCAAGGCCCACACTGAGATTCTATGCAGCTCTTTTTTCAGAACGCGACCTGCCCATCGCAAGTGAGAGAGCTCAACGAAGTGGGCTCATCATCATCGTCATCGCGTGGAAATGTCTAGCAGCAGCCAAATGCTCTCAGCACGGAAGGAAAAAAACCAGAGGACCCGGGAGAATAATACACGCGACCACGGGAAGAGAGACACACGCAAACTCCAAATATACGGGATCAAACCCACGACCTCCTGCATACCAGGCGAGGTAGTTAACATCTAATAGCCACCGTGATGATTATCAGAGACACGCAAACTCCAAATATACAGCAGCAGGCGTCAGGGTCGGGATCGAACCCACGACCTCCTGTATACCAGGCGAGGTATTTAACATCTCCTAGCCACCGTGATGATGATGATCAGAGACACGCAAACTCCAAATATACAGCAGCAGGCGTCAGGTTTGGGATGGAACTGACGACCTCCTGCATACCAGGCGAGGTAGTTAACATCTCACCAGCATGGCGACCAGCCTCAAATGAGTACCGACCCGGTTTCGATTCCTGCCCAATACTACCAGCACCAGTGACGATGTTACTGGGTCTCCCCCCAGGTGGAATTGGCTGAAAATGAGTACCTGGTGCCGTGTGTAGTAAACATCGCCACAAGGGAAACAGTGCTGGCCACCCCCACCCCCTCGTGTGCCATGCCGGCCTTCGAAGGTGTTACTCGCTCACAGCCCTTGCCCCAACAGTCTTTTAAAGCTATGAGGGAGATCTTTGCCTTTGAGGGGGGTAAGTGATGGAGGAGAGGGGTGGTGGGGGGGTGTAGTGGAGATGAGTGATGAGGTGGTGGTAGGAGAGGGAGGTTGAGGGGTGAGGAGAGAGGGAGGAGAGGGGTAGGGGGGGGGGAGGTGTAGGGGAGATGAGTGATGAGGTGGTGGTAGGAGAGGGAGGTTGAGGGGTGAGGAGAGACGGAGGAGAGGGGTGGGGGGGGGAGGTGTAGTGGAGACGAGTGAAGAGGTGGTGGTAGGAGAGGGAGGTTGAGGGGTGAGGAGAGACGGAGGAGAGGGGTAGGGGGGGGGAGGTGTAGTGGAGACGAGTGAAGAGGTGGTGGTAGGAGAGGGAGGTTGAGGGGTGAGGAGAGACAGAGGAGAGGGGTAGGGGGGGGGAGGTGTAGTGGAGACGAGTGAAGAGGTGGTGGTAGGAGAGGGAGGTTGAGGGGTGAGGAGAGACGGAGGAGAGGGGTGGGGGGGGGGAGGTGTAGTGGAGACGAGTGAAGAGGTGGTGGTAGGAGAGGGAGGTTGAGGGGTGAGGAGAGACAGAGGAGAGGGGTAGGGGGGGGGAGGTGTAGTGGAGACGAGTGAAGAGGTGGTGGTAGGAGAGGGAGGTTGAGGGGTGAGGAGAGATGGAGGAGAGGGGTGGGGGGGGGAGGTGTAGTGGAGATGAGTGAAGAGGTGGTGGTAGGAGAGGGAGGTTGAGGGGTGAGGAGAGACAGAGGAGAGTTGGCAGAGAGAGGAGAGAGAGATTGGGTCGGTGGTGCCAGTAGGCCCGCAGTGTCTGTGTTGAAGCCGCTACTGCTGCGTGTCTGTGTAGAGGCTACTGCTGCGTGTCTGTGTAGAGGCTACTGCTGCGTGTCTGTGTAGAGGCTACTGCTGCGTGTCTGTGTAGAGGCTACTGCTGCGTGTCTGTGTAGAGGCTACTGCTGCGTGTGTGTTTCAGGCTACTGCTGCGTGTCTGTGTTGAGGCTGCTACTGCTGCGTGTGTGTTTCAGGCTACTGCTGCGTGTCTGTGTTGAGGCCGCTACTGCTGCGTGTGTGTTTCAGGCTACTGCTGCGTGTCTGTGTTGAGGCCGCTACTGCTGCGTGTTGTGGCTACTGCTGCGTGTCTGTGTAGAGGCTACTGTTGCGTGTCTGTGTTGAGGCTGCTCCTGCTGCGTGTCTTGAGGCTACTGCTGCGTGTTGTGGCTACTGCTGCGTGTCTGTGTTGAGGCTGCTACTGCTGCGTGTGTGTTTCAGGCTACTGCTGCGTGTTGTGGCTACTGCTGCGTGTGGGCCCTGCTCGTGCGCCCCTCGAGGTGCGTGCAGGACCTGAGGCAAAATCTCGACCTGAATAACATCCTCGGCGGGGCGGCCGCCGCCACCGCCGCCGTCCTTGTCGATGAGCGCCTCGGCCGCCTGGCCCCCCCCGCCGCCGCCGCCACCGCCGCTCGGCATGTGAATGGTCACAGACTTGTCCCCTCGGCCGCTGCCCTCGCGGCCGCGGTGCTTGTGCCGGTTCCGGTCACTGGCGGCAGGGAGGAGGGGGGGAGGGTTGATGTCACCAGCGTCACGACAGCAGCGCAACACGCACGCAGAGCAACACAGCGACACACGCAGCAACTCATCATCCTCATCATCATTATCACCCTCATCATCCTCATCACCCTCATCATCCTCCTCCACCCCCCATCATCCTCCTCCCCATCATCCTCTCACCCTCATCACCCTCATCCTCGCCCACGGCTACGCTCTCTTATCGCTTGGCGACTAACACCGTGTAACTGTGCCTCTTTCACCCAACCCCTTAATCCCCACCGAGTCAAAGCTCGTTATTATCACGCCACTTTCCCCACAGCGCGGCGTCCTTCAGCGACGGCAGCTCCTGCCGGGCTGCGGAAGCACAGGACCGTCCCTACAAACTCCCCCGGCCGGGAGCCGGCCGCCCACGTCGTTACCGTTGATGCCTGGAGCCCCGCGAGTAGCCGGAGCTGTAAGAGTATCCCGAGAACTGCGACTCCGTGTCCATGGCGACCGCGCTGCCCTAGCAACCGGGCTGCCTGGCGATGGTCGCGTCCGTCGCAGGAGACGAGGGAGGGAGGGAGGCGGCGATGTTCCAACGTCGCTCGCAGCCCTGCGAACGCGGACACAGCCCACCCAACGTGAGTGCGGGCTGGCTACGCGGGGCGGGATCGCACGCAGCAGCAGCAGCAGCGGAACATCGCGTTACCCCCCTCCACCACCCCTTCCCGATTGCCACGACCCTCCTGTAAAAAAGAAGTCTAAACTCAGGAAGGCAAATTTTTTTCAAAGTACAATGTGAGTCTCGTTCTCCGACAACGCGACAGGGAGTAGTTGCGTTCTTGAAGGACGCTGCGTTATGGAAAAAATTGCATTATCAATAATAATAATGATCTATTCAGATAAAAATCTAAAATTGTCTGTTTGTCTGTTTGTGGCTTAAGCCCCGCCGTGAGCCAGCGCTATTCTTCACATCCGTCAACTTTTAATTAGTTTAATTAGCGATTTAGTGCGATTTTTGTGCGCTTTCTTTTTATTTATTTATGACGAGTGCACGACCATACCAACTCACGCACCGTTGGTGAAATATTTTTAAGACCCGGGCAACGCCATGCCAAGTCACACGCCTTCGGTGGGAGTGAGGGGGACATTTTCTTTCGCGTTAAAAATGCTTTAATAAGTATAACCCGTAAAAACAAAGTTTTTCACTATAAATCCTTTATATGCGTGGCGGCTAGAGTCCTCTCGTCCTCTGGCTTGAGATGGCTGCCACCTATGGGTCAGATGATTGTCTGCCAGTATTAAGCAATTGGTAATTAAATATTTAATTTGTTTTCCCTAAACAGTGTAAAATTTTGGAAAAAAAAATTCACGAACATTAATTGTCTCGCACAACGAGTCTGTGTGCAAAATGTCAGCTCGATTGGATCACGGGAAGTGGGTTAAAAAACGACTGAAAGATTTGCACGGTCGTAAGCAAGCAAGCAAGCACGCAAGCAAGCAAGGAAGCGAACTTAATATAAAGGATTTAAAAATACACTAAACGCTGAGCTTAAATCTCCACTGTGTGATGTCCCCCCCACCCCGATGCATGCAGTTACTCATATATACAGTCGCTAGATGCTACCACTATAGGCCGTACATATTACTGCAGAGCGGCCGGGGAGATCGTGGCTGGGGGGGGGGGGGGGTCAAGGGGTAGCAGCCCAGCCCCAGCCTGCCAAGGTGCCACCTCGGCCGGCTGGACAATCTAGGCGAAGCTGGAGGCTCTGCACGGGACTAGGCCTCACCACGCCACTCTGTCAGGTGAGTACTTTGTGCTATAGAGTCGATAAATACTGCCATAAAGTCAGCATCTACTACTGTAGTGATAGCAGGTACCACCACAGTCGGTATGCACTGCCGTAATCATATCAGGTACCACCACAGTCAGTACGCACTGCTGTTAGATTTTTAAGAGTAGTATTGAAATATTGTTTTGGTCCGGGCAACGCCGGGTATATAAGCCAGTTATTTATATAGGGGGCTAAGCACAGTACAGCTATAATGCACAAGATGCATAACGCAGGGCCCAAACAAAGACCGAGGCGCGTGGGTAGCGTCGAGAGCAGTGTGGTTCTCTTAACCTGGGGAGCATCACGCCACCCGCTGGCGGTGCGAGATGCCCCTTCTGGGGGGGTAGCGAGACACGGACAGATTCATTTAGAAGGTAAATCATCGAAAACACAAATTAAGCCACGCGCAGCGCAAGTTACAACTTACTTTCATTCATCAAGCCCCTATGTGTTTATTCACAATGTACATTGTTTTAAAGATTGAGAACCAAAGGGCGGTGCAGGCTGCAGTAAAGGTTACAAACCACTGCTCTAGAAGCATCCAGCAGCATCCCAACGACTCGTGTGGAGATGGCGCTACACCGAGGAGGAGGCGGCCGTGCTACGACCGCCGCTTACTCCTGTTCGCGCTGCGGCGGAGTTCCCCTCGCTCGATGGCGTGTGCACACCCACTTGGCGTCCGCGCTATAAAAACAACGCGTCGTCTCTAATGCATCCATCCGTCGCGATGTATCCAACGGGCGTCGTGGAAACGCTCGCCGCAGAAGAGGACGCACTGTATGACGACGACGACAACAAAAATAATGAACGCCGCCCCACCACTGCAATTTACGTTGGAGAATGGCCCTGCAGAATTTGTGTGAACTAATCAACTCTCTCCCACCCACCCCCCCACTGGAACGTGAGAGAGGGGGAGGGGGGGTGGATGGGTGGGCTGTGCTTGTTTGTTGTTAAGGTTACAGGGCGGGCGAGCTCGCTGGCCCCGGGGTGGCGCAAAGGTCACAGCCGCTGAGTCGGCCCCACCGGCTGGGACCCTGGGTGCGAGTCCAGGTGCCAACCACCGCATGGGTGCTGCGGTGGCTAGGAGATGTTAACTACCTCGCCTGGTATACAGGAGGTCGTGGGTTCGATCCCGGCCCTGACGCCTGCTGCTGTATATTTAGAGTTTGCATGTCTCTCTCTCTCATCATCATCACGGTGGCTAGGAGATGTTAACTACCTCGCCTGGTATACAGGAGGTCGTGGGTTCGATCCAGACCCTGACGCCTGCTGCTGTATATTTAGAGTTTGCGTGTCTCTCTCTCATCATCATCATCACGGTGGCTAGGAGATGTTAACTACCTCGCCTGGTATACAGGAGGTCGTGGGTTCGATCCAGACCCTGACGCTTGCTGTATGTTTAGAGTTTGCGAGTCTCTCTCATCCCAAGTCGTGTAAATTTTTCTCCGGGTTATTTTTTTTCTTCCACGTTTAGAATCAACAACACGCGTTTTAGGGTGTTTGACTGCTATCAATTCCCACGTGATGATGATGAGCCACTTCGTTGAGCTGTCATTTGTGACCGCCAGGTCGCGTCTGACAAAGAGCTACATAGCTCAGCAGGACTTTCCTGGTTAAATAAACAGTGATGTGATTAAACCACCGTGATCTCAAGTGTAGCGAGTTCATGCCAAAAGGCAAACAGCATGGCTCGGGGTGAGCAGCTACATCATGGGACCTTTTTCTTGCCAGTATATACATATAGGAATAGGTTTTACCCTTTCTGGCAGTAAAACCAGAGGAGTGTTTGAGACGAGGCTCTAAAGAAAGCTGTCTCTGGTCTGGACCAATCAGTTTCAAAGACAATGCATATACTACCAGAGCACGTTCTTGTTTGCATGCTCACCACAAGTATGTGTGTTTAATGCAGACATGACTGCATGCAAAAGGTTTCTGTTTGGTATTTTAACATCTTAAAACCTCCTGCTTTAGCTCCACAAAGGCTAAACCGATTCCTACAAATACATCCAGTCTGTTCGCCTATAACGTGGCGGTGGTAGTAGTTGCGTTCCTCAAGGGCACTGAGATGCGTAGCAAAGGGCCTGATCAAAGACAGATGTGCCGTGTGGGTCGCGTCTAGACCAGTGTGGTTCTTCTTAACTTGGACTGCACGCAAACCCTGGGGGGTAGCGAAATACGGCCAGATTTATTTTTGAAGGTCATCGAAAAACCCAAATTAAGCTACGGGCAACGTGAGGCAACAAAACTTACTTAAGTTTCATCGAAACCTATGAAGTTATTAACATTGTACATTTTTTGTAACGATTAAGGACCAAGGGTTGTGGCAAGGCTGCAGTAAAGGTTACGAACCACCAGCGTAGAAGCATCCAGCAGCATCCCAACGCCGTGTGCGGTGGAGACGCTACGCCGAGGCAGCCGTCTTACGACCGCTGCTTATCCCTCCTCACGCCGCGGCTGAGTTCCGTTCGCCCCGTCGCGTCGCATCACAATTAGTAATCCGCGTCATTAACAAATAATGCGTTCCCCATCCAATCCACGTTGTGAAAACCACACGCGGCGCCATGGGAGAACACGACGATGGTCGCCATTCTACGACGGAAGAAGCGGTATGTCGAGGTACGTAAAAACAAAAGTAAAAAAATACACGAATCGGAAGTCAGGCAGGAGATACGCTCTCACCACGCTACTCACGGCGCCCACACAGTAATAATAACAATGGCAGCTCGTAACGCGACACTGCATGGTAGTCGCTCACTCTCACACATGGAGAAAGAGAGAGAGAGAACGCCTCTCTAGAGATGCGAGGAGGAACCACAGAGCAGCGGGGGAAAGGCAGCCCAGCAGCGAGCCGGTGCCAGCAACTGCCCAAGCTCTGCAATCCTCTACGTACCATAACAGAAACCCGATTACTCGAGTATAATAATCATAATGATGATGACGTTTACAACGCGCCAGATTCTGCAGACGAAAGGTATGGAGCCAAGCGTGGGGTCTGCTCGAGAGCTGAGAGACCCAGACCCAGATTTGAGAAAGGCCTTCAGACGCGCCTTGAACGCTCCAAGTGCATTCTACGGTGCGGATGTGCAGAGAGGATAGGGAGAGAGAGTTACAACACCGAGGAGTCGATGGCGGTGGAGAACCAAAGTGAGGCTGCAACAGTGTAGTGTATAGTGTAGTGTATAGTAGTGTAGTGTAGTGTAAAGTGTAGTGTAAAGTGTAGTGTATAGTGTAGTGTATAGTGTAGTGTATAGTGTAGTGTATAGTGTAGTGTATAGTGTAGTGTATAGTGTAGTGTATAGTGTAGTGTATAGTGTAGTGTATAGTAGTGTAGTGTATAGTGTAGTGTATAGTAGTGTAGTGTATAGTGTAGTGTAAAGTGTAGTGTATAGTGTAGTGTATAGTGTAGTGTATAGTGTAGTGTAAAGTGTAGTGTATAGTGTAGTGTATAGTAGTGTAGTGTATAGTGTAGTATACAGTGTAGTATACTAGTACAGCACTAGTGTGTAGCGTAGTGTGTAGCGTAGTGTGTAGCGTAGTGTATAGTGTAGTGTGTAGCGTAGTGTATAGCGTAGTGTATAGTGTAGTGTATAATAGTGTATAGTAGTGGCCTAGTCTCCCCCCCCCAAGTGGCAGACATGAGCACCTGGTCTGCAGTTGGACGCGAGGCTGCCCAGTAAGCGGGGCAGGGACGATGATCTCTGCTGCCGTGTCATCCCCAGCTGAGTAATCTGCGGAGTCATTTTGACAATAAACCCACTAATTACAGGTATCCACTGCC